TGACTGTTTGCACCCTAAAAAACTATCTAGTCTGCAAGATGACATTTTATAGTTTTTTTGACGTTTTATACGTTTTTTACGTAATACCCGTGCGGGCATTCTCGAACCTGAATGCACGTAGATAATACACTTAAAAAGGATTCTAAAATTTAAAATGCTCAAGGCATTACAAATGGCCGCTATCATGTATTTGAGCTGTATATCCGAACCCGCACGGGTATTACGTATCTTTACGTATCTAAAAGTGACATTTAGTAGTTTTTTTTCACATTTCGTAGGTTTTTCTACGTTACGCATATAGAAACTTAGTAGGCCGCGCGGACCGAACGTCAGTACTGAATCTTACACTCACTCTTTAGTAAACTTAAATTCAAAGTTTCACAACGATACGTGCAGTGTTCTCACTACAGTGAATTTTTAAGTGTGTAATTATCGCAACAAGAATGACTTGCTGAGTTACTGTCTGTTTTCGGCAACGAAGCGCCACATCAGTCGACAATTTTCCATTGGTATGGACAATTCAAACGTGCACGGGTGAGTCTTAGGCCCGTATCGTAAGTCGTCCCTACAATTGTAGGGCGCCTTTATGGCCCCCTTGATTGTCATAGTTTTCTACTTCTCCGTGGTAGAACTCTATTTTGAGGTTATGTCACAAACATCTATTTGCATCAATTGTGCTTGCTTTTGAGTTATATCATGTTTTATCAGCCTGAAATTTCCTACAATTTAAAAAGAAAACATATCTTCACAATAGGAGAGCGTTGACGCTGACACGGAACAAGAGTAATCTAGAAATTTTTGAAGGAGAGAAAGGAGTATGACAATCAAGGAGGCCATAAACGCGCCCTACAATGGTAGGGTCGACTGACGATACGGGCCCTTAGCGACGATCCCAGGGTGGGTGCACAAAAAACGGCCCAGTCATCCCAGGAAGACGTCGATGCTGTGCGCAAACTCATCATTGAAGATAGACATGTGACATATCGCGAGATTGAGGCGTCCTTGAAGATCTCAAAGACCTCAATTCAAACAATTTTACATGAAGAATTAGGAGTAAGAAAATTAGTTTTCTCGTTGGATACCCCACCTGTTGACTGAAGAGCAGAAAGCAGGCCAGGGTTAATTGGTGTCAAAAACACGCTTGACCGTTTCAATTCCGGAAAATCAAAAAATTGGTACAGCATTTTTAGTGGTGATGAAGAAAAACCAACAAAAGTCATCCGTTCTCGAAGTGTTTCGAAAAAGATGGTCGCGACATTTGTGTCAAATGCGGGACATATTGCAACAATTCCTCTTAATGAGCAAAGAACTGTTACTTGCGGATTGGTATACCACCATTTGTTTGCCAAAAGTCATCACAGAGATTCGAAAATCAACCCGAAATAAGAATCATCCTCCACCAAGACAATCAAGCTCGCACACAGCCAAAAAAACAAGGCTGTATTTAAAAATGCCGTTTTGGATCTGCCAGTAACGAGTGGAATAAGTGCTACGAAATTGGTTCGAGCGCATGCAGATGTGTATTAATCTTCGTAGAGAATACTTCGAAAGACAATAAAGACATCTAAAACTACCTACCGTGTTGTTTTATTTCCATATGCAAAACTTAAAAGACATCCCTCGTATGTTAACTTAGCACAAGCTGGAGTACACTTGTGAAACTCGTTTTGTAGCTGTTGCTTAAACGTCAGCGAACATGAACTATTTAGTGTATATAAGTGAAAGACACTAAATACGAGTGACTGTAAATTTTTGTCGACAAAAGTAAAATTTTTGTGCATGACTAATTTGGCGTAGGTATTACATGATACAGGTAGAAAACATTGTCGATGAGTAAATGATATGGTAAACGAATAATTTGCTGCTAATATGCTACTAATAACCTTATTTTTTCCTGAAATTAGCAAATGATAGATAATGATCCTCATAGGAGATCAATTTATTTGAAATTGCAATTATTATATGGAAGCCTTCTGGAAAAAGCCTTTACGTATATTTTTTTTTATAAATTATGTCATATATTTGATAGATATAAGTATATTTTCCTTTGCAGTTTGTAATAATGAATATCATTTTGCGGTGATTGTAGAGATAGTATAATGTCAGTGATTAAGATGGGTGATAAAAATTGTTTAACAAATACGTATTCTAGAATCCGCAAAAATGTAAAATGTAAATGAGTAGGTAGGGGTTGTATGTTCTAGAACGCCCTTGAGAGTCGACCTTGGGAGCCAACCTTGAACGCATATTTAACCTCGAAATGTAACCTTGAAACATGGCCTTGAAATATGACCTTGAAATGCAACCTTGAAATATAGCCTTGAAATGTGACCTTGAATCGAAATATGGCCTTGAAATATAACCTTGAAATGTGACCTTGAAGTCGTGAGTGGTAGACGGTATGACCTTGGAAATATGTGTTTAAATTAGTGCAGCGCTCGGAGAGGAGGCAGTTGTTAGCAGACAGCACGAATCAAACAATGAGTGCAAGACAAACATTTAAGTTGCCGACGGTGTGGGAGGGGAAGCCGGTGGCGGTTATACGCCCATTCAACAGAATACATCCTGAAGAAGAAAATTGGGACGACCCATGGCCCAGAACGCATATGGCACCACACCGCCGCATCAACCATCTGAGTCCAGAACACCTATGAACACCACAACCGCAGCAATCCTCCATCTGGGTCCCGAACACCCATGGACACCACACCGGTTAGCCGATATGGAGTCAGGATCCGTCGCCGGAAGTGGCAGTGGAAAAGAGAATTGGGATGATGAAGCAGGTTCTAATTCGGATCAGTTGATTCAGGTGCCCATGCAGAGGAAGTATACCTCCAGGCATGGTCGTGGTGCGAGAGTAGCTAAGCTGGCTTATACAGGAGAGAAGGAGATTGCGACAGGTGCAGCAGTGAAGGAAGCAGGGTTTCAGAGGGTGGAGGTATTGTTGGCAAACGGAAGCAAGGTTTAAGAGAGTGGAGACAATGTTGGTAGAAGGAAAAAGTAGTGGGGTTGACTAAAAAGTGCACCAGCAAAAGTAACATGTGCAATGAAGGTGAACATATAAGTATTATTCCAAAGACCGTATCCTTCAACGAAACAAAAAACAAAGTACATATCATGTATGCATGGCAATATGCATATAGAGAAGCTCGAAGAAGTAACGGGGAGATGCAGATAGATGTAGGTTTCAAAGGCGAGTGCAACTAGTCGAAGAAGTGTTAAAAAATACTTGACAGTAGATTATAGGCAAACAGTGTTTACAGAAAGGTTTAAAGTGTAAATTATTAAAGTGGAGGTATGTCTGTGATATGTATAAAAGTAGTAAGAAGTAGGTTTAGTAAAATTGCGAGTATGTAATGTAATGTAAAAATAGAGGGGAAGAAGCAACGCTTTGATGTATTTATAAAATAATAAAGATTGTAAGATAGGAATATTGTGTAGTGTTATGTGGGAGGAAGGGGTAAAAAATACATTAAATGAAGAAACATATGTTTATTGACAAAAATTATGACATGATGAAATTTTCATACAAATAAAAAACGTTAGACATCGCACACATGCAAATATCTGTTGTATGGTAAAAACACTTCGCCGGTGAAGGGGTGAGGCTGCTCTTCAAGCTCGATTATTGGTTTGCTGGTGAAGTTTCTCAGGTAGGCTGCTTTTTCACGTCCTTTCACATAAATTCTGTCTGCCCCATCCGCAATATGTTTAATAATGTTTCCAAACTTATGTAGGGGTGTAAACCCTGAATTCCAGGAGATACCATGGTAATTATCAGTCAACCACTTCGCCTGAATCTTCAACGGTGGTGGCAGCAGATCCCAAGGAAAAGGAGCTTTGAAATATAATGACATAACCTAACACCATCATAGGCGCAAAATTCTTTTGCGAGAAATTTATTATTTTCAATTTTAAATCCTTGAACATCCAAAACGACACTCATATTTGTAAGTTGGAGAATTTTTGTATATAGAATGCGTCTTTGACAATATAGGAATTGAGTGCTTCTTTCAAACTTTGCAATTTCTGATAATACTCTCTGAGAGCTTGTCTGTAGGATGATGTCATAATGAGAATGAAGGAGATTTAGTCTGAACAAAGATATTTATATTGTGATTGATCGTGATTGATTAAGCTCTATCGCTGTTCAACAATTTTGGTTAAAGGGTTGTAGGTGAAAACGCGATCGTGTAGGATGAGACAGTAAGCAGATGTTTCCGGAGGAACATTTTCACTTGTCTCAAATTCAATTCGCATAACCACCGATCCAGATGGATACTTTCCTTCTGTTTAGAGCCAATCAATATGTGTGATAGGGCAATAGAAAGGAAATCTTTTGGGGAAAACAGAGGTTCATTTTCACTCTCATAATAGGAGGAGCGGAATTTTGAGTACATTTCATACAAGAGAGCAAATTTTTGGTTTTTTAAAATCCAAAAAGAGATCATTACTATGGGAAGCGGTCGGAGTTGAGGAAAACCCGAATATTGGTTCAACTTGCAATGATCAAATTGTGACATATTGGAGGTAGATACTTGTTTTTTATTAGTTTGAAAGGCTAGGATAACATGTCTAGGGGTCTCGAGCTTCGTTGTAGTTTTGACTGGCCAGGTGTGACGCGTTGTTTCAGGGAGTGATGGATACTCTACTAGTTCCCAACTGCGAAAATATAGTGGAATTTCCATGTTTTTGTTGAGAATTTTTGTAAGAGCTAGTTGCTGAGGAATGTCAACAGATTACGTGGGGTACTCTCCACTGAATCTTATCAATCCGAATTTTTGGTTTTTCGGATGTAGTAGTTGCTACAACAGCATCAAGGTCATGACTACTACGGATTAATACTAACTCCTGTTTCATATTGAGGAGAATTTTTTCGATAGTCTTCAAAGAATCCCATCCACATGCTTAAAGGAATACAAACATTGAACTTGCCAGACTCAGAAATAAAAGTGTCTTTTGGGAACCAGCCAGCATTTTGCAAGCGTGAACTCTCATTTTCATTAAAAGACAGATACCCTTTAAGGGTGGAGGTAAGACCAACATTTCGAACGGAATCGACTACAACTCCGTTCAGTTCATAACGGAGCTCACGGAACAGAAAAGCAAAGCGTTATTGATTAATTGCAGAGTTTTTAACAGTAGTTCCATCAGCGTTTTTAGTCGTAACAGCAGTTCCATCGGCTTTGGTTAATTCTCCTTCGAGATACAAAAGACTTTGTGACGGGAGGGTATAGGCATCTAGTTCTTGAACAGCAATGCGAATTTCATCGTTGTAGTCAAAGTTGGAATTGATAAAAGGTTGATAAGTGTGATACTCTAGTTCTGTAATAGAATTATCAACAAGAGGTTTTTGTGTAACGTTGAGAATACTCATCCTACAACACGTGAAAACCTAGATTTTCCAAAAATTTTCTATTATCGTTAGTAAGTTGCAATGTTGATTGTTGTCGAAATGATCTTCTGCGTATGCGGGACGGCTTACCACTAATAGATGGTTTCGACTGACCTCGCTTTTTATAGGGAAAAGAGATCGGAGGCGCGTAATATCTAATGCCCATTGTTACCGGATCGTAAATGATGTCGAAGTGTAATGGTCTCGTTACGAAAATTAATTATGTGACCGTCTTGATCAACAATGTTGACGGTAATGGTTGTGATTGCTTTAACACTCACTGGGAAATATAAAATATTTTGAGGTGATTCAACGATGTTATACCCGGGCGAAACAGAGGGAAAAAATTGATGGATGATGTGGCTTGGCACACCGTTGGAATATGAGCCTGTGGCTACATTGCAAGCAACACATATGAATTCACTTTCAAAATTTGCACAGGAAAATCAGACGTATGTCTAATGATTGGGTCAAGACGTCGAGGTTTAAATCCGAGAAGGGATGCAATGGCACCATTCTGTGAAAAATCAATCGTAAAATTGGCTTTGAGAGAAACTGTTGTGGATTCATATGAGGTGTAATGCTAATAATTTTCCCTTCTGGGAGATTTTGATCTAAATAATCAATAATATCTCGAATTTCATATGCGCCTGTAGGAAATGTAAGTAGTTAGTTCATTGTCACATGGAAACTTATTATTAGTTTTGTCTATATTGGGAATAACATTGAAGGATTCAAAGTTGCACAACCCGATTTCATAGTCCACATTATCATCAAGATATAGCGGGGGATTAAAATGTGATTCGAGAGTGGAAGAAGTTCCCGACAGCGTAAATGTGAGGGACGTCATTACTGTAGACGTTTGAATTGCAACTTCTGTATTAGGAGTAACAGTAAGAAATATATAGAAATTGTAAGCATAGCTGTCCACAATGTGAGCATTAAACTTTTGTATTGGAGTATAATTGTATACAATGCGAACATTTTTATCACTGCTACCAAAATATCTTATCAGCTGCAGTGCAGGGCGCAGATTCCCAAGTATGAGACAAGATTGCCATTTTTCACGTAGGCAACCCAATGCGTCCCGTTGCCAGACGAGTCATCCAAATTAACAATTCCACTTTCACAAGTCTGTATACCCTTTGGTAATTGATCTTTCATGAATACTCCTCGAAAAAAAGGAACTGTTAAGTTGTTTTGCAAAGTAAAGTAGTTCAATATCGGAAAGCGCATGGGATGGTAGGTGCCTTAGCAGTTTTTTTTGTACGGTGCTAAAAAAAACCCCTTTCCGTGGGAGAAGAAGAACCTTGCGAGAGGCTTCTAAGCCAAGTTATGACGCTTCTGTTCCGCAAGTTGTGACTGATTGGCTTTAGCATCATTGACAGCTTTTGCAATGGAGGCAGCACCACCTCCAAGAGCTCCAAGAGCCCCGAGTATAGGTAGAAGTAAAGGTAGAAAGCCACCTGTTTTCGGTAGAGCAGAATCCGCAAACGTCGCTTGGAACTTTGCGATTTTGGTGATTTTTTTCGCAAATCCTTTCCCATCTTGTTCAAACGTTTCTTTCTTTGTTGTGTACGATGTTTTCGCAGGCCAAAACCATCTTTTTTTTTAGCTTTCATTGCTCCAGCAACTCCCAAAGCTGCCATTCGTTCTCCAAAAGAGCTGTCGGATGCGAAGGCTCGCTGTATAGCTTGATCAGCCAAAAGTTTGTCCGCTTGTTGACGCGCAGTGAGATCTTTCTGCTGAGAATAGAAAATGTCGTGTTGTTTGCAAAATTCGTCAAGTGGATTTATACCAACATCTCCTCGTTGAAGACGTTTTTGCAGTTTGGTTGACGGGCCACAGAAATTGTAACCTGGGATGTGGGCTTCGAAAGGGAGATTTTCTATTACGTTGGAAATGAGGCCGCGACCTCGCACGATCGGTGTCTGCTGGAAAGTACGTGTCATGGTGAGTGCACAATCATTATATACTCTTATTACGAATAGAGCGGGAGGTTCTATATATAGGAGTCCATTTGGATGGCTACTAGTAATCACACAACATCATGAGAATTGAGCAGACGATACCAAAGCTTCAGGTAGGTAATTACGATGGAATAGTGCAAGAAAAAACGTTCCGAAAACATGGAAGTGTGTTCAATGGTGCTCTAAACGGGCTCTAATTGTTGGTAATAGTGGTGCTGGACAGACTAATATCATGATCACCCTATAATACACCCTCACGGATTACGATATGAAAATGTCTATTTGTTTTGTAAATCACCCTACCAAACAAAGTATCAATTTCTTCGCTCAGTTTTAGAACCTCTAAAAGAGATAGGATATTACGAGTACACGAACGGTGATGATATTAAGCCTCCAGCGGAAATCGAATCAAATGCGATTATGATTTTTGATGATGTTGCATCATGTAATCAGGATATAATGCGTCAGTACTTTAGTTTTGGCGACACAAAAATACAGATTGCTTCTACCTGTGTCAAACATACACAGCAATTCCAAGCAGTTATTAAGAGATAATGCAAATCTTCTAATACTTTTAGCACAGGATGCATTAAATTTGAAGCATATTTACGATGATCACATTAGCTTGGATATGTCGTTTCAACAGTTTAAAGATATTTGCTCACTGTGCTGGCAGGAACCATACGGTTTTGTTGTGGTTGATAAAGATTCACCCAAAAATAATGGGAGGTATCGGAAAGGTTTCGACAAGTATATATACCTATAGTGTGGTATATAAAGAGCGTGTAAGATTAGCAGTACCAGTGTTACGCCAGCCTCTCCATAATACGTGATATGGATCCAAAAATTGCAAAGGAATTGGTGAAAGCCAGACAAGCAGTCAAAGAAAAGTATCGAGCATTAAAGTCGGATATTGCCCAATCGGAAACCCAATTGCAAAAAGCAGTGGAAACCTATATCGGAACCGCTCCAGCAGTTACTTGAAAAAGTAGAGCCAGTCAAAGTAAAACCAGAGAACTGGAAATTAGAATCTAAAACATAAACACCTCAGAAATCACCACTTTCACAGAAATTAACACCGACAAATATATACTGTTAGAAACAATGGGGAAGAACACTAGTTTTGGTTAAATACACCTTATTACGAACAAATATTGTTTATCGATATAACTGAGCGGCAGGGAATCCGGGCACGACGCGCACCGCCCAACGTTTCTGCTCAGACTGCCTGTCGACGGCTGGTCGAAGTGATAACAGCAGATAACGCAGCAGTACTCCCCGTGACCGGCAGCGGCTCCCGAAAATTCTCGTTGCTTACACGGCCTTCCTGATGGCCGCGGCGTTCTCGACGCCCTCTGCACCACTAGCCGAATCTGTGAATCAAATCAAATACAAGCACTTTGAGTACTTGCCACAACTATGATCTCACAAATATGATTCAAATCTGAATCAACCACTACCGGTACTAAGACCAAAATTCACAATTCGATTA